GAACACAAAAAACAAATATTCTTACAACATAAATTTAAGTTGTTACTCACAAGCTATTATACATTATGCAACAGCCCAAACAAAAGCCGGAAGCGATAGGACAGAGTTTACATTCATACATTGTTTCTACACGTGATCGCTTCTCAGCACATTTTGCACATCGTTTTCGCATAACTCTACCTTTTTCACAATATGTTAGTTTTTAGTTAGTTCTGAAGTCAGCATATCTCTAATAACTGACATACGAAAGTCATATAAGCTAATTCGTTTCCCAGTTTATTGCTTGTACAAGATGTGTGCATTTTGACTATCATCTCTGGTTTCATTTTATGGATTTTTTTTAAACAGCCTCTTACATATTATTTCTAGTTTCGGTCGATATGTAAAGAACGTCCCTTGTATCCTTCCACTTTCCAATTAGTATAGATACAGATTTGCAATGGCTTCACCTTTGATTAGTATTTTTTGTGTAACATCTTTTGGATTATTTTTTTTATTAAGTCTTAGAGTGACAGTACAATGGGCTTTTTTCAATTGAACCTTTATCTAGGTGCCTGAAACATTTACAATATTTGTTCAAAATGACTGCCATTCACTTTTATACAATAGTATAATCTATTTTGAAATTTTTCTTTGACATTCCTTAACATGTCTGCATTTAATTGTCGATATTCATCATTTATTGTTTGTCGTACATCATCCAGAGATTCCGGTTGAGTAGCAAACATTTTTGTTTTTAAATACCCATATAAGAAGAAGTCTACAGGTGTTAAATCCGGTGACCTAGGTGGCTTGTCCATCATCTGTCTTCTTCTACTTATCCAACGAGCGGGAAAAAATTTCGCTTAAAATTTTTCGCACAGCTAGAGCCAAGGCTGGAGGATCTCCATAATATTGAAATACAACCAAATCCTCAGAAAGGTTATCATTATTTTCTACTATTGTTCTAAGACCATCAACCACTTGCCCAAGTAACTCAAGATACGATGCATCTTTTAAGTTTCCAGTGATAAAGAAGGGTCCGATAATGTGATCACTCAGGATACCACACCATACGTTTAACCTTTGCTGATGGTGCGTGAAATTCAAGCACAATATCGCTAGTAGATCACTTCTCAGCCCAGTATCGACAATAATTATGTCTGTCCAACAAGACATTTAATCAAAATGAGCATTCATCTGAAAAGCAAATATTGCTTAATAATTGTGGATTGTTAATGATGCATTGTGTCAATAATTTGCAAAATTCGAGACGCGTCGATCAAAATTTTCTTCATTTAACTCTTGTACCAATTTAATTTTGTGTGAATAAAACTTAAATTTATTAAGGATTCGGAAGGCTGTATAAGTTGAAATACCGATTGCTCTGCTTATTGTTGACAGTGACTGTGATTGCTCAGGCTCTAAATTAACTTACCCTTAACGGCAATTTTTGGATTGCTTCGTTATTTACGAGCTCCTGTCGGTTATATTTTTTATAGCAAACTAACCCTGTTGCTCTAAACTTCTGCGTCAGTTCAATGACATACTTATGAGCTACATGTAGCGCAGCACTTGCACAAGTATTATTTTTGTAGTATAAACCTACAATTTCGATTCTTTCTTGCAAAGTGTAAACCATTTCAGCGATCAAATTGCACACGTATCAAAATACTCTGTTAAAAGTTATAACAAATTGTCATTTACTATTAACCGATTAAAATTAATTTCCAAATATCGAAAATCTTTGATAAAACTTTAATAAAAAGGGAACTTTTTTGATTATTGATTTTTGAAGGTTAATAGTACAGTTAAATATTTAAAAAGTTTAAATTATACTACAAGCTATTTTGTTACAGTCAATTAGGGTGAGAGAGATACTGTCTTATTTAAAGAAAAATTGTCTATCTCATAAGCTAATCACTTTAAGCCGAATGTGTTATAAATTTTTGAAATTAGGATAAAAAGGAGAATCCACATTAAAAATAAACACATACGTACAATTCTTAAACGATATTCAAAAAAATTGTCGTTTTCATGCCAATTTCGGCAGCAGCATTTCCAATTGTAAATTTAATGAATGCGTTTCCAATTTTATTTTATTCTGGTTTGGGGTTCCTTACATTTAATCGACATATTAAACGCATTAATATAACTCTATCCCCGACACTTATTGATGTCTAAATCTTAAATGCTGAAATCTAAATTAATCTAGTCTGCCGAAATGTAAATTAACCGGATTGTTATAAATCTGTCCCCGACAGTTGGTAATGTCTAAATTTTAAAAAGTTTTTACCAGTATAAAAAAATATAGGAAGAAATCGCAAAAAAATTGTTTTATACCACTTTTAAGAATGTAGCGATCTAATGACGGAATCTACGTAATATATATCAGGTGTTGAATCAATAACTACATGCAATACAAGATGCAATACTTAAAGATCAGGAGATACTGATTTTAAATAGCTATGATTGACTTTTTAACACGTTGCCTGCCATAGCACATACGTCGATTTAATGGATTTACGCGCCCAAAATTATTTTACCGCATAGTTCTACTCAAAATGATACAAATTAACGGAAATATTGTTTTTTTTAAATATTGGCATCTACTTTTCATGGAAAAAAATCAAAATCAAATTTTAAAATGAACAAAAAATATATTAGTTTTTGTTTTACCTCACATATCAGTGTCTGACATATCGGACTCAGTATTCGGGTCACCTGGTAAAAGCATTTGAATTGTTTCATGGCAAAATGAGCCTGGTTTGACTCTTTTCTGTACACGTTTCTTGCTGATTAAAATGGTTAATAATGGGTCAGAAGTTAGAAGAAGTCTGTTGAATATATCAAGGTTGCATTCCTCCCTCGAGAACTTTCGTGCATGGTTCTCGCGATATAATCGAAAATGCTTATTTTTAGCTTCTGCTGCCTCTCCCGACAGCTGTCCTATAGGTAATAAGGCATTTTCGATTATTTCTGCACCGTGAACTAATATTTTATGCATGGTCGGTGTCATAGGGTGCCATCGATACAGATCGACATACAGTTTCGCTGTTGCTTTGGAATAAACATCAAATTGTTGAACGTCAATTTTATGACCACTTAAAATTGTTTCCAATATAATCTTCAGTCTATATATCAATTCAAAATTAACTTTTGTTATATCGGCAGCTAGTTGAGGATTTTCAAGAAATCTTCGGCTAGTATTGCCGTCATTAGTGTTCCCAAAATTGGCTTTTGGCATGTCGATTAACAATCCAGTTTCTTTTTTAAATCTTTCCTGGATATATTTTTTTTGAGCACTTCTATCTTCTTTTCTTCGTCAGTTCTCTTTTCTTCATACTTTTTTATTGGTATTTGTATGCCAAATGTAAAACGCTTTCAAGCATTCGGATTCTAGCATGTAATAGCGAGAGACCAAATTCAATAGCCTTAGAACTTGTACATAATTTTATATTCAGATTGTTAAAGTCTTTACATGTCGCTCCGCATATATAACACCGACTTGTATATTTTGTATTAGTTGCAGCATTACAAACCTTGCCATCAATCATGGTCATCTTAAAAACATGATCAAACATGAATGTGTTACCGTTCAAAACAACTTCAGTATGTGTTAAGTTTTTGGCAGATTCTTCAACGTAACTGATCTCCTCGTTCGTTACATCAACTGTTTCTTTCACAAAGCTAAATCGTATAGGTCTACAATATCTAGGCGAGGACGGTATTGGGTTTTGCCAAATTACTTTTTTACCTTTTTTGCCACATTTCTTTTGAACAAAGGATTTCTTCTAACCCCACTGATAAGCGGTAAACGGTGTTATCTATTAAACTTTGTAAACTGCTTTCTGCGCAAGTACTTGATACCTTTATGCAATCCGTTGGCGGGTAACATTGTTTTTTTTTTCCTTTAACAGTAAGTCATAGGAAGGATAAAAAGATTTATTTGTATTTCTAATGATTTTATACTGTCGCTTGGTTAAATCAGCTTCAACAAACATTGCTAGGGCTTGCAACGGTGTAAGAGCAGTAATGTTTTCTTTATTTATTTTCCTGAACGCATCTCTGTATTTATCTGCACGAGTTGGAGAGTTTGTAATATCTTCTAATATTTTTGAAGCATTTGTTTTTCCTCGAGCCTGTAATGTTGATTGGGCTGCATGAACGATAACTTCTCTATCAAGCGAAAAACGTATTTCTTCTGTTTTTCTCCTTTTCGTTCTTTCACTGGAGTCATTAAATGATTTAGATGGACGACCTGGTCGCATTTTTTCGTTTTCTACAAGTATAAATGTTCCATCTAACCAAACTATGTGTTTGTAAAAATATAGCCTCTTTTCGGTGGGCCTTTAACCATTTCTCTGTCATGGCCGTTTTAAAATGCCAAAATCTTCGCTTTAAACTGGTTAAATTGTCAGATGTGTCACCATAACAGGTCAGTAAGTGATTTTTTAAATATTTCAGTTTATCATCTAAATTAGTCAAATCTTGAAGCTTCATTTGGTCGTAAAGATATTTACGGGTCACTATTTTTATGCCAAAGGCACCAGATGTAGCTAAAACAAAGAAAATCTTAACTTGTTACAGTGAATACAATTAAGTACTTTTATTTGTGTGACGTCATCAATAAAACAAAATAAACAAAAACCCCTGTATTTCGGTCATCAATAATTATGAATATCACGTTTTGATTTTAAATAAAAATAAAAATGAATTATAAAACTTAAAAATTTAAAAACCTAATTTTCGGGCCCCATAAATTACGGGCACGTGCCTAGGTTGACTGGGTCTTAGTCCGTCCCTGATAATTTTATGTTTATTCTTTTCCAAGTGTAAATAAAGAAGACCCTGGAATAATCTAAGCAATATCAGTTAATATTTTAGTACTACTATAGGTACCCACTTTCCCCTAATAATAAGTAGCTTTATGTTCCTGTCTTTACCAAAATTTAAACTAATATATTCTTATCCTTGCACTTGAACTGCAACTTACTAGTATATGTTTAAACATAACCATTGTTTGATAATTTTAATTTTGTTTATGGTGTGCCGGTTTTATAAGTAGTTACTAAATATTCTTTACTACGGCAACATGAAGCTGTTAGCACGATGTGTTCGATATTATTCCACGAAACCACAATTACCAAAATGTGATTTTAAACCTAAACCGTACAAGGTATGTAATAAATTAACGATATAAAAGCTTTTTTAAATTTAGATAAATTAAATAATCTTTTGAGAAAATAATTTAATTTTTTAATTCCTATTCTAATTTATTAGAACTGACACACAGAAACTTTACCCTCGCGCTTTGTGTTTCAATATAGTCACAAAATGTCTATTATAATATACTCAAATTGTGGAGGTATTTTATATATTTCACAGAAACTAAGGTGTATTATTTGTTGTCAAATTATTTAATTCTTTTATTTGAAGAGTTAAAATCATACTATAGTACAAAAATGTGTAATTTTGCAAAAAAAAGTTTTTGTCAAATTATGGTACTTTTACACATGGTTTATAACAGAAGTCATTATCTGAAAACTATGTACACCACCCTTAAACAAAATAGTTTCTTTTTATCCATCCATTTATTCTATATATTACCCTATGCATTTTTAATTATGTAGTTATGTAGGTATAGCAAAAAAAAGAGTTATTACATAAAAACTTTTCACTACATGACTTGCAAAATGTTGGAATGCTTCATGGCATACGCTCTTCCATTTATTTTGCTAAGTGTTTTGTAACATGTGTAGGTACATCTTCTTTTCGTGTTTCCTTAAGCAAATTTAGAGTTTTTTAGGTTCTCTTTCCTGATATGACTGTTGTAAGCGGTTGTGAACTTGTCCAAAATTTTGATTCACGATTTGTTCTCGAAAGCTTAATATCGCGAAATATCCTGGAGCTTTTTTGAACTTTCTTCTTCTTGCAGTACCGTCTCCTATCAGAGGTTGGCTACCATCACAGCAATTTTTACTTTGTTGGCTGCAGCTCTGAACAACTGTATTGAACTGTAAGGGAATGGAAAGATATACGCTAAAAGTAGACAATATGCAGAAGTTGGAAGCATTTGAGATGTCGTGCTAAAGAGGAATTTTGAAAATACCTGGATCTAACGAGTTACAAATGCAAACGTGTTAGGGTTATATTGTTACAAAAGGATTGCAAGGTGATAAAGAACATCAACACAAGAAAGCTGGAATATTTAGGTCACATTACCGAAGGTGCGAAAGGCTTAAAATGCAATGTAAAATTAAGGGTAAAAGATCCATAGGTAGAAAAAGAATTTCCTGGCTAAGAAACTTAAGAGAGTGGTATAGTTGCAGCTCAATAGATCTTTTCAGAGCAGCCGCCAATAAAATACGGGCAGCTGTAGTGATGGCCAACCTTCGATAGGAGCAGGAACTTCGACAAGAATAGGATATAAATTTTGTTTTAATAGTAACATTGTACTACAAAAAATTGACAATTTATCTAAAAATGGCAATATAGAAGTCAATTATATTCTGTGCAAAATAATAAATTGTATAGAGATGAACTAAAATCACTATGATCTACTGTTCGATCGCATACTTTTTACATTTAAAAATTTTCTGAGGACTTTGTGGAATTACGTCATCGAGGTTTTAAAAGCAAGTAGTGGTGAGTACCAAATGCAATCGATTTTAACTTTAACAAAATACCACAAATTAGCAACATTAAAAATGAATAAAGTAAGTACAGATCTTGGTAAATTGACAGGGAATTTCCAATACATAAATAGATGAGGGCCATCTGCCTAGGAACAATAGGTAAAAGCTGATAAACGGACAGGATTATAAATTTTAAAACATCACTAATTAGGTCATATTTTAAAACAAAGTAAATAAGTATATTTGAATGTTAATTCTTTTCAAACTAAGATTGTAAAGTTAGAATTTTAGGAAAAAAAAATATTTATTATTTCTTGTTCTCAAGAAGTACTTTCATTATTGACAATATCGAAACATTTTATTCTTAAAAGTCGAGAAGAATTTTCTGAGGAAACGTACATATTTATATAAAAGTACTATAAAAATGTTTCACTGCAAAATGATGCTGGCAAATTACCCTCTGTTTTAGGGCACTGATATCCACCAATATAATATCAATATTCCCGCAGTTTTTTTGCCAATTTTTTTTTCGCTCTACGTCTTTCAGGGGAAATTTAAAGAAAGATATATTGTTATTTGTTCCATCGTTTCTTTCAAAACATCCCGCGTAAACACATTAATGCGTTACACAGGCCATTTTATCTAAAATGTGAGTCCTTTTTTTTATAAAATTTCCCTATAACTTGTCACAACACTTCACACAGATAATACACTTATAGGGTAGGTTCGGCCCTGACACCACTCCTATCTCCTCGCAAGTCAGAGAGACAATGAGAATCTCAATACGGTTTTCGAGTAACGCCATCTAGTTTTTAATACGTCTTTCGGTTACCACGAGGTGAGCTACCTAGGTAGTGGTTTATAATCAACGCTTAGACTTTTATAGAACTTTCTTGTTTGATTTTCTTTTTTTAATACCTCAAGTTCTTCCAATATTCTATTTTTATAAGTTTGCTTTTTTCCCCGATGGATATACTTCTCCTCTCTTCTAAGATCTTTATAAAAAATGCATTTTACATAAATATATTTTGGTCTCTACTGCTAGATATAAATGACGAAGAATAATTTATACATCTTAGGTGCAAGATGTGATCTTGCACCTAATAGATGACTATACATCATTTATACATGGTAGAAAAAGGAAGCGATAACTTACTACTAGAGTAAATAGACTAAATATCGGACAAATTTTAATTAGTTAATATCTCTTTTATTTATTTTTTATTATAGGGTCTCAGTTACGATGAAATGACCAACATACGAAAGACTTACGTGAATCCAGCTTTGACGACTTACTATACTAAACCCCTTGCATTACATCAAGGTTACAAACAATGGCTTTTTGATATCGAAGGAAAAAGATACTTAGATATGTATGGAGGAGTTTGTACTGTTTCTGTTGGACATTGTCATCCGTGAGTATATTACTTTAAAACATGTTTGGTTTCAGGAAAACTCAAATATACAGTGTGACACATTAAGATTGGGAACAACTCTATACAACAAAAATCTTGCACAGAATATTATCCCGTTGCTTACCAATTTAATCAATGCATCTCTAGCGCTGAGCAACTTTCCTATCCCTTGGAAGGTGGCCAGCACCGTCATGATCCCAAAAAAAGGGAAAACCCTCACCAACCCTGAATCGAACAGACCCGTTTCACTATGGAGTACCCTAGGTAAAATCTACGAGAGGATCCTTAAGGAGAGACTTGTAGAATTCCTAGACGCTCATTTCTTAATTCTAGACTACCAATTCGGATTTAGGGCTGGACACTCCACACAAAATGCATTGGTTGAAGCAACAACTTTCATTTCACAATTACTTAACGAAAGGAAACACATCATGGGCATATTTCTCGACGTCCAGATGGCATTCGATCAGGTCTGGCACAGAGGCCTGATTAAAAAACTCCACCTTGCTGGACTGCCAACACCTTTCGTTAAACTAATTAATTCCTATCTCTCTCATCGGATGATCAGGATCAAAGTAGCTGACCACCTCTCCACCCCCTTCACTCCACAAGCTGGAGTGCCCCAATGCTCAAATCTTGCACCAATACTTTACACAGTCTATAATAATGACATTTCCCGCCCACAGCAAGGATCAGATTCTCTCCTCCTTTTCGCTGATGATACGGCCATTCTCACTTCAGGCTCCCACAGAGAATGCAAACGACGGTCTGTATTCGAGAGAAACTTCTAATAGTTTAGCAAATTAACAACATATTCTTTTTGTATACGCCAAATATCACGTTTTTAAACAGTCAACTTTGTCTCACTGTCGGACACCCTTGTCCAAGACTGAGACATGATGTGTCCAAGCGTGAGACGCATGTTTGGTTGTCTCTTGTGATCTTTATTTCGCGTCCAAGATATATGTATTTTTCCACCAGCTCTACTTCGTTGTCTCCAATATTGATATTTCTGCTAGGTACTAGGTTTGTCATAAATTTTGTTTTGGAGATGTTTATTTTAAGACCCACACTGGCACACACTAACTGAAGTTCATGTAGCATTGTACATATCTCCTTGATTTTGTCCGAGAAAAAACTATGTCGTCTGTGAATTTTAAATTTGTTAATCTTCTACCGTCAATGTTCAGGCCTTTCTCTTCCCACTTAAGTTTTTTACAAGCATATTCTAGTACTGCGGTAAACAGTATAGGCGATAAGATGTCACACTGTCAGACTCCTCTGCCGATTGGGATATGATCCGTGTTTTTATGCAATTTCACCGACATAGTTGCATTTGCTATTTACCACGGATAAAAAATATTAAAACATTAATCTGTTAAATTTTAATTTGAAGGAAAATAACTAGTGCCATAAAGGATCAAATTGAAACATTGGGACATTCCACAAATATATATTATCAAACTAAGATTCACGAATATGCTAAAAAGTTAGGAGATAAATTACCAGGCAACTTGGAAGTAAGCATTGTATTTTACATAATTTACTCTTAGTAAAGCATAGGATTTAATAATTTTGCAGTAATAATTATTCTTTTAGTGTATATATTTTGTAAATAGTGGTAGTGAAGCTAATGATTTAGCATTGCTAATGGCTAGAGCTTATACAGGCAAGTTCGATGTCATGTCTCTAAAAAACTGCTACCATGGAATGACTTATCAGGTCATGGGAATGACCTCAAATAATTATTATAAATATCCTGTACCAGGAGCTTCTGGAATGTTTAAGGTATGTAACAAAGTAGTGTTTAAGTCTTCTTGGTCACTCTAACTTTTAAGCATGTAAGACTTTGTGGCTTGGATTACAAACTACACGTTTTTTGTGAATCGGTTGTACAACAGAAATCCGATTACCCGTGCGCGTGCTATGATTTCCCATTATTTAAAATAAATTTGAGGTTTTATCGAAATATCATCATCATAATCATCATCATCACTGGCTCGACAACCCTTTTTGGGTCTTGGCCTGTTCAAGGATTCTTCTCCATTCTGACCTGTTTCGTGCTTTTTTTTCCAGTTTTTAATTTTTAATGTTGTTATATCATTTTCTATTTGTTCTACGTATCTCTACTTTTATCGAAATATCTACACCGTAAATCATTCGACGGAAACTTTTTATACGTTGTGAGAGAGACGCATATTGCAATATTGATACCTCGGGGAATCCCTGAAAATCATTCGCGTGTCAACTGTCAATGCGTGTTACGCCAGATCTATGAGATTTAGTTAGGCGCTATATTCGTAACACGTGTCACTATTTTGAAATGGCAACAACCAGTGTTAAATGTAATAGAAATTTATTAACGATTTAACCAAAACTAGAAAAGAAAAAGGGTGAAAATGTCGCATTATTTACTTGCGGCTTTTCAAGTGAATGATTAGGGGAGTACGGAGGAGTAACGAATACGTTAACCCAAAAAAATTAAGACAAAGACATTGCCAAAACGGCACTATACCGTATCTCCGTTTCTGTTGGTCCAATCTTTACGAATGAGTGCTCGTTGGAAAGAGTAGGAGCTAGCTAATATGCTATCCTAAAACACAAAGACAAAGACAGTGTCAAAACTGCACTATATCGGGTCTGCGTTGCTATTGATCGGATTTTAGCATAATAGACGTTGAAAGAGAGGAGAGTAGTCATTGACTTTAGCTGAGAAACAAACAAACATGTCAACATTGTCGAAAGGGCATTTTATCATATATTGGACCTATTTTGACGTTTGATTGGATTTCGTCTATTACAGTTGATCATCCCGTCATACAAATCGCCACCTGTAGCTACATCCTTTACCTATGCCCAAACCACCTAGCACCTGTCATCATAAAAACACGCTTCTTTAGCCTATCGCTTCTTCTCTCTCTTTCTCGGTCTCTCTGTCTCTCTCTCTCAAAATAATGTATGAAAAGAAAAGTAATATTGAAAACGATACAACGTACAACAACGTGTGAGGTATTAGTAGAATTAGGACATGATTAATTAAAAAACATATAACATTCTCACAGTATGACCAAACCAACAAACATCCTCTATATAATCTTGTCTGATTGAGTACTACTATACACGAATCTCCACTTAACGTGCATTACTATATAGCACTATTATTCTGTATATGCGTGTCATTTTTATGAAAATTATTGAAAACAGATGTATTGTGAGTTGTATACTATATTTTATCTACGGCAATTCGGGTAATATTATAAAAATCACCAAATACATTTGTATTCAATAATTTTCATAAGAATGATACACATATACAGAATAATAGTGCTGTATAGTAATGCACGTTAAGTGGAGATCCGTGTGTAGAATCCTGAAAACACATATAAAAAAACATGAAAAACGGAAAGTCTAGCTTGGACAGTGAAGTCCTGTGGTGAACATTTAAGACAACCTTGGACAAAAATTCAATACAAATTCAATGGGTCAATTCCCTGTTAGACATAATACAGTCTAGCTTGGATTAAGCTATTCCAAATAAAATTACAATGATTACCACATTCAAAAAATGTCTTTTTTTGGTATGAAATAAGATACTAAATTTATTAGTTCAGCAATTATGTTACGTTTTTTAACCATTTTTTCTTTGTCTGATTTTCGTATCGTTATCCCACGTTCAGTTTTGTAAAATTTTCTTCTCTTTTCATTAGCTTCATCTTTTTTTCTAATACCTTCCTCACCTCTTTCACACTTTCTGAATGTTCTGAACGTTCTTTCTAAATTGTTAACGCCTCTGCTCGCTATGGTAGAAATTTCATTACGTATACCTGCACAGATCTTTCCTCTCAAATGCAGCCGTTCTGATTTAAATACTCTTCTGTCGTAATGGGAATGATGTTTACTCAAAAGTCCATCTTCATCTTGACGAAGAGGTTTTTGGTCATCAGCACAGGCAATGTATCTCAAAACATCAACACAATGATCCAAACATATAATTTACTGAATATAGTTTTTGGATGTAGTCTTTTCCCTGCACGTTGTATTTTCTTCTTGTATGCCAACATTGTAGATCCATTGATGAAGTTAATTAATGAATGAAGGTGTTCGTGTCAAGTACTTCCATCGTCTGCTACTAAATGGCAACGGCAAATGGAATACCATTTTACATTGGGAGCACATGCTAGAAGAGAAAAGCTACCATTCTCTTGGGACTCTTTCTAATCCTTCGCCATATCCTCCGGCGAAAGAGCATTAATGTCGTTGATACTTAAAAGAGCCAGATAGTCACTTTTTGACAAAATATGCATATTTTAACTGAATGCTTATGAACAAAGAAGTGAACACTCAAAACTGTCTCACTAGACTAAAAGAGTCCTTACGAAGTCGATAAATTTATCTGCCAGTACAGCTTCCCCCATCCCAAATGATTATTTTCACGCATGCGCCATTATCATGGTTTTGACGTAAAAGCGTCAGGTTTTGACGTTAGGCCTCACGTAAAAATGTGTCGTTTTGACGTGTAAGGTTTTAACTTTTTTACGCCCAAACGTCACGTTTTACCGTCGAAACATCACGTTTTAACGTCAAAACGTCACACGTCACGTCAAAACGTTACGTCAAAACGTTACGTCAAAACGTCAAGCGTCACGAAGAGCAAAAAAATGAGCAGAATGGACCTTAACGATTTCTTATGGGATTTAACATGGGAAAATACGCAGAACACTCATAGCCCCTTTACTTGTTTACTTCTTAACTTGTAATTATAATTTAATTATTAGTCTTAAGTCGTTTTTGACGTTACATTATTTTTTTAATTATTTGTTTTATTTTAAATTTGTAGACAATGAATCCCGATATCTATCAAGGAATATGGGGAGGAAATAAATGCCGCGACAGTCTTGTACAAACAGATAGGCATTGTGACTGTACTGGAGAATGTGAAGCAGGTTTAAAATATTTAGAACAATTTGAATATGAGTTAAATCACGATATTCCAAAAACTGGGATAGCAGCTTTTTGGGCCGAATCTATTCAAGGACTTGGAGGTGTCGTACAGTATCCGAAGAATTTCATAAAAGGTGTTTATGATCGGGTTAGAAGCCAAGGAGGATTATATGTAGCTGATGAGGTAAGTAATTACTTTAGGGATGCGTGATGGAAAAAGTCTTGCTTATAGATGGAATACTAAAACAATAGGTTGACAAAAATAAACGTTTTATTCTAAAATAAATTGTTGTTTACATAAAAGTCTTAATTCTCCTTCTTGACGTTGACACTTGTCACTTACAGGTAATGCCAACACTTAACATAAAAATGTACAATATAGAATTGTCATACCAACACCCTTCTGCAAGGGTGTCTTTGTCTTTTGTAAAAATGTCAGCTTGTTGCTGATCAGACTGTACATACTGTAAAGTAATAAGTTCCTATTCTAAACAATCTCTAATAAAATGATGTCTAACATCAATATGTTTGGTTCTTTTGATTCCAATGTAGAAGCCATCTTAATACATGATTGGTTATCTTCATACACATGTACACTATACATGATTTTAAAGATCTCTTCCAACATCTGACTAAAGAACAAACTTTTTGTTACACATGAAGATAATGCCATATATTCGACTTCTGCACTAGATAGTGACACTACATTTTGCTTCTTAGTTTTCCAACAAATAACATTATTATTAAACTTTATAACATAACCACTAATACCTACTTTTTCTGTCGATTTGATTATTTGCAAAATCTGCATCAACATAGGATACTATCTCTATTTCTTTATTTCTACCTTTAACAAAACTTAAGACATAATTTTCTGTATATTTTAAGTATCTCAAAACATTTTTTAAATTTTTCCAATGTTCTTCGGTGTAATTATTTTGAAATTGACTAAAATATGACATACAAAAACTTAAATCTGGCCTAGAGCCTAAGATTACATACATCAGACAACCAATCAATTCTCTATACGGTAACTTAACATTTCCTACCAAATTTTTATCTTTACAAATTGACAGATTAAGTTTAGGTTGCATTGAAATATCTGAAATTTTACAATCACTCATATTAAATCTGCAAAATTTTTTAAATTAATTCCTTTTGTGAAATACAACCTTCATTTCCAATTTTACTTATATGTAAACCTAAAAATACCAATTTTTCATCATCTGTTTCAAATTCGGTTCAGTAGTACTGGATACATCCGACAACGGCATTTCCAAACCATGACAAAAATATTCCCTATTAATTAATTCAAGTAACCAATTGTCTTGAAGTTAAAGATTAATCCATATTTTTTGCAACATCGCATCGCTTAAAATACTAGCCTGCTTTCTTTATTTTAAGGTTATCGTTTTAAGCTTATCAATAATGTACTACCTATTGTACGAGTATTACCTATTTGATTTATACAAAAAAATCAGTTGGGTCACTCTGCTTCTGAGCGACTTAATTTAAAAATTGATTGATTCTGGCATGATTTTGAGTATACCTTATATTTTACATTTATTTTGTATGTATATATTATTGTACTAACGCTTAATTTGCATTTTAGGTACAAAGTGGATTCGGTAGAACAGGCGATTATTTCTGGGGCTTTGAGAGTCACGGTATAGTTCCAGATATTGTTACTATGGCAAAGGGTATTGGCAATGGATATCCCTTAGCAGCAGTAGCCACCACCAAAGAAATTGCAGCTGCTTTAACCAAAGCTACACACTTCAACACTTTTGGAGGCAATCCTGTTGCCTGTGCGGTGGGAATATCAGTATTAGAGGTATATGTTTGTATTTAAAGTAAATAATTACTTGCGTGCATTTATTCGTTAAGTTTTACTAGTATACTAGAAATATTTTACTAAACATTAAGCCCAACAAAAATTGATGATTGTGAGTGCATCCAAAGCCAACCAACAAGGTGTATAAGCTACTTCATCATGTGATCCTTATCATATGTTTACTTCCATACATTTCTTTTTCTGTCGTTTACGTCTGAAATACCTGCTAAATTGCTTATTTTATACCAAGTGTCTATTTATTATCGTTGTCTATTCACCATTACATGGATTTCATAAAAATTCGTATTATCTATACTCATTAATAAGTTGGAGAGATAAAAGATTCTTCTTCTTTAAGTTCCACTCCTATCGGAGATTGAAAATCATTCTGGCAATTATAATTTTGTTGGTTAAGCGCCTGAATAGTTCAATTGAACTGCATCTAAACCATTCACGGAGTTTGCGTAGCCACGAGATTTTACGTCTTCCTACGCTTCTTCTACCTTTGATTTTACCCTGCATTATATTCCTTAGTAGTTCGTACTTTTCACCTCTCATAATGTGCCTCAAGTATTCCAATTTCCTGATTTTTATGGAATTTAAAACTTCGCATTGTTTTCCTAGCTAAAAGATTATCTCACCTTTAAGGCGACAAATTTGATAACCAGCTATAGCATCAAATTAAAAATGAACCAGATTATTGTAAAATATTTCTGGCGTTAATATACATATGAACGGAAGTATTTCTCAGCATCTCTAATCTGTGATTTTGATATCTAAGTGAAAATATCTGACTCTATCTATACTAATGACATTAGGAGAGTGTATAAAATGAATCAAAGTTGCAGACTGAAATATAATGTTCATAAATTCTGTTTTGAATTCTTTCATTTGTTTGTCTTATGTAAGTCAAGGGCACTCTGTACACGGAATTTCATAAACTCCACGATATTAGTTATAGAAGGAAGTTTTAGATAAGATATTAGATAGGAGCAAAATCTTCGCTTCCCACAAGATGGCTAAGTTATTTCTGTTGTAGAAAAGGATCTTACAACAAAACTTTAAACTAATCATTCTAATATTCAGATAGTAGATTTTTGTTATATTTGTTTTATTTTAGATTATAGAAGAAGAAAAACTACAAGAAAATTGTAAAATAGTTGGAACACCTTTATTACTGGGACTAGAAAAATTAAAATCAAAATTTTCTGTTATTGGAGATGTCCGCGGTAAAGGGTTAATGATAGGTGTTGAACTAGTGGAAGACAGAGAAAGTAAAAAACCTTTAGACCCTAAGAAAGTTATGACATTTTGGGAAAAGTGTTTAGACCTTGGTTTAATTATTGGAAAGGGGGGCCTACATGGAAATGTAAGTAAATATAACAAATGTTATAACATATAATAAATAATGTGATAACTATTTATTAACTTCTAAATAACCTTTTTGTTTTAGATATTAAGGATCAAACCGCCAATGTGTGTTACTAAAGAAGATGCACAATTTACACTTGAAGTTATTGAAGTTGCTTTGAAAGACGTATAAATCATATAAATGCTTTGCTGTTATTTTACATGTTAAATGTTTGTGGAAATTCGTTATTTATTTGGTGTAACTATTAAAAGTATACATGTGTTTTTCGAAGTACTTATTTTAATAATGTCTAGGTATCAATTTAGTGGAAACAAATTATAATAAACAACTGTATGATATAAAAGTGGTATATATTAGTATTAAATCAATCGTGATTGATTCTTTTGTTTGGTTTAACCACTTCAAAGTATTGAACGACCGATTTCCACCAATTCATAACGATCCGATCGTGCGGTGACAAAAATCGATCGAACCAATACAAAATTCCACATCCAAAGAGCCAATACCACAGTATACTGCTAAAATTTAATACTCTCATTATCAGAGTATAAGTTTACCTACAATGACCATATGTCCTTATTAAAGTAGGACAGTAGGGAAGAAGGGGGCTCCTTCAGACATGGGGCAGCTTGAGACCTTGGAGACATGGAGCTGTCTCGCAGAGTTATTCCTAACATGGACCGCTCCATTCTTCTATGCGTGACTCTCAGTTTGGTAGCTGTGGCTTTTGTTAAGGTAAGTTTTATCTCCATGCTATGGCATGCTGGACGAGCCATACAGTCTGTAGTCAACACCCCGAAGTATGAGCGGGAACACAAAATGTATTAATACTCATACTGTTATGAAACGCACCTGGCGGATCATAAGAGCCTTCACATTTTACTCTTCTTCAACTTGTCTTGAGTGAAATGTCTTTAATCTTTTCTATCAGCCTCTCTTGGCCAACTTTTGTTTTTTTCCGACCCCGAATGGCGATTAGGTTTCCGAAGGCAGACGGGTCACTATATTTATTTATAATATATTCTTCCCATCCACACCTTTCCCTCCCCATCCTACCCAACAAAAATATGGAGAAAACCAGATGCAATAAATCCGTAAGTTAAGGTGGAAGCTATCGTGCTAAAAACTGAATGGTTGCACATCACGCGGCCGCTAACGATGCTCTTGGGACACCGGGCGAAATCCCATTGAATTGATACCACCTTGTTCCTGTACGCGGGGCTCTACAGTTAGTATATACTTCCACTATTTAGAATAATTCTTCTTTTTTCAAAGGAAGAAGTCTGCAATAGTAGTATATTTGAGCTATTAATATTGAGAAGTAGGAATTGTTGTGTTGTAGGTTTCCGACTATCAATCTGTCAAAATATGCCCGAGCTAAGCGAATGGACCTTATAAATATCAAGCAATACTTGTTTTATTTTAGTTTTGTGCAAATGGTTTAATTTATTTTGTGCAAAAGTTTTAAACCTAAATGTTGTGTATCCGTTCTGCCAAACTTAGTTACCATCCCTGTATTTACGTATAGCAATTTTAGTGTACTGTACATAACTGTACAAATATTAATGTGGTGTCATCACCTAAATGATTTTTTACCGTATTTCCCGATTTATTTGATTAACTTTTTTCATGTATGTACAACGCTGTTATAGCCGAATCTCCAATTAACATTTATGTCCTATACTTTTGAACATCCCTACATTTGAAAAATCAAGACCGGTGCTGCAGGATCTATTTAGTCAAAGCCGGACCTGACTTCTTACCCAAAAAAATGGCGTAAGGTCACCGAATGTGGCTGACAGCTACCAATGTAAATTTATTGAAGTGCATTTTCGGGGTGTATATACTCTGACACATATGAACTACCATAAGCGATGATCTCGGTTTTCAGTCGATTCCTTAATTGAGCTCAATCAATCGGTTACCCGTTATTTCTTGTGTAAACGGCAGCGACGCAACAAATCGAGTATTAAAACAAACGGTCGATACTGAACATGTGAATGAAACACGTGAACGTAAACACATTTATTTAGTTGATAAACTAATTGATACAGGTATGTAACCACTGCTTTTGATAAATTTAGTGATAGCGATATGTAGTAAACAAAATATGCAAAATATTAAATTAAATGAAGGTAAACTATACGAAAAAGTGACAATTTTACTGAAAAAGTTTAGAAAATCTTCCAAAAAGAAAGTTGGTAAAGTTATTTTATTTTAATTTGCTTATTAATTATTGCAAAAATAGTTTCAAAAGTTAATTTAAAAAAAAATAATAATAACTGTTCTAAAAATGCACAAGAAACTTTGATTTAGCGTGAGAGTAAGTACAATATCACAACTATTTATCTTTAAAATTTCAAAAAGTTTCACTTAATAGTTTTTAAGTAACAAAAAGCTTTTATTCCGCTTATGCGTAAACTATTAAGTCTATATTAATTCTTCTGAAAGCACCAAATTGAAGAGAGTCTTATTTTATGAAATTAAATTATTTAAAGATTAAAAAGTTTTTGTTAAATATTGTAAAATAGGTTTGCAAAATTACTGTGACTGTAGGCTTATAAACAAATAAAATAACTCACTTACTAATTCACGCTCACTTACTAATTCCAAATTACCAATTCGGATTCAGGGTTTAATACTCTACACAAAATGCATTGGTTGAAGCAACAACTTTCATTTCACAATCCATTAACGAAAGGAAGCACGTCGTAGGCATTTTCCTCGATGTCCAGAAGGCTTTCGATCAGGTCTAGCACGCAGGCTTGATCGAGAAACTCCACCTTGCTGGACTGCCAACACCTTTCGTTAAACTAATAAATTCCTATCTCTCCCATCGGACAGTTAGGATCAAAATAGCAGACCACTTTTCCACCCCCTCCACTCTACAAGCGGGAGTACCCCAAGGCTCAATACTTGCTCCAATATTATACACAGTTTACAACCGCGACATCTCCCGCCCACAGCAAGGATCAGAGTCTCTTCTCCTATTCGCTGATGATACAGCCATTCTCACCTCAGGCTCTAGCAGAGAAGGAGAGCGACGGTCTGTATTCGATAGATCGCAAGCTTACCTCGATAAAGTCGTGAAGTGGTGCATCAAATGAAGGGTTACCTTAAACCCATCCAAAACTCAAGCTATCGTCTTCAAATCTCCTTACGGACGCGACCTCTAGGGCCGAGTGTCACTTTTGGGAGGGGACCTCATTCTCAGGAACTCAGTTCTCTACTTGGGAGTTCGTTTTACGAGAACTCTTAATTGGAAGGCTTACTTCCATTAATCCGTTGATAGGATGAGAAGGAGGTTTAATCTCCTAAAAGTGCTAACCGGAAAACTAGGAGGAACGTCCTCTAATACATTGTTGCACACCTACAAGACCTTTATCAGGCTGATACTCGAATACAAGGCATGTGTTTACCTTTCTCTGAGGAGCCATGAACTTAACGCCATCACCACCACCACTGTATGAGAAAAGATTGGTTGTATCCATCAGCCCACATATACGCACTGGCTAACATCACGCAAATTAAGGACAGAATCCTAACCCTCAGCAGGAAGTATGTCCTAAGAACCATAGCTGGCTCGAACAACCGAGCAAAACAACTACTAAAGACGCCTTGTTCGCATAGAGGGCAAATACTCACCAGGTACCCTGTCAAGAAAGTTCCATTCCCTTCAGCTAAAGTTCTACACAACGCTGGACCTGAACTTCCTGATTATTTTGAAATTCTTGAAACTTTCCCCATCTACTATCGCAGATAAAGACTGCGCGCCATAAACGCTAATAAAGAGCCGTTCCTACCGTATGGCTGGTAACCCCTGAAGTACCTTACACTGCATGCTAGGCAATTCCAATTTCTTCTTGTGCGTTCTATCGATCACACAAATAACCACCTTCTTTTCCCTCTTTTCCTTGGTAGTTTGCTACTTCTTAGTTCGCGTTTCGCTTAATTGACGTTTATCACACCCCCACAACTCCGTAAAAAAGAAGTTCCCCATTAATTGAAGAGACGCAAGCCTAAACAAGGTTAAAACTTAAGAGTCAGAGTCAATAACATATAAGAAGTTAATTTTTTTGTACTCATATTTGCATTTTTACACGAATTAAAAAACCTAATGTCTTACGACCCTTAAAACCCGAGTTAGCCCTTTTTTCAATAATTCACCGAGGCTTTGTTTATAAAGCTATGATAATATATAAAGCTCTGACCTGATCGTTTTATAAAGTCCAGTAGCTTCGAGACTGTACCTTCCATGTAGCTATTTGCCGGTGGATTTTCTTCTCCTAATGCAAATAACCGCACATTTACCAGACTGTCACACTGACATAAAATGTGCTCTGCTGTTTCTTCTTCGAGGTGACAGAATCTGCAGAGCTCATCATATGATAATCCCATCAGCTTCAAATGCCTATTCAGCTTAGTGTCCTGTTAGAAGACCTACTATTGCTTTGACTGTTTTCCTGTGTTTGCTTATTAGGTCTGCTGTAAATTTTGGTATCTTTAAATGTTCTTTAATAATCTCTTTCGCTTATCTTTGTCTTGGTGAATTCCTCCACCATTCCAGAGATTTGTGAGCTACCCACTTCCTTGTAGCTGTTCTTATTACTGACTTTGCAACGCCGCAGAAGGTCCAATGAATGGCATTGATGAGCCTTATTTGGCCATTTCATGACCCTCGGGCCCAAAAACCCAAGCTACCGTAACTTTGCTACGATCTCCTAGTTTATTTAGGGCACACACGCAATCCCATACTAGCTTAGAATTGACCTCTACCGAATTGACTGCTTTAAGCGCTGCCTGACTATCTAGGAAGATGGCAACTAAACAGAACGTTCTTTCCTGCCTTTATATTTCTTCCACGCCGTAATGGATTGCCGTTATTTCCGCCTGAAAAACTATCACATCCTTATATAGACTTACCCGAAATTGTATCCTTTGATTTGTCACTACTATGCTGGCTCCCACACCCACCGATGTTTTTGAGCCATCTGTGTACCAGGTAGCAGCAGCTTGTATGGTTTCACCTTTGTCCCAGTTTTCCCCTCTTGGTATCTTAATTGTGAACTTATTGTTAAAGCTATATCTCGTAGTTGTTCAATCGATAGGTTTCCCAATCACAATATCGGCTTTTAGCTCCTCGATTAGGTTTCTGTTTTTAGAACCATGCATCTGGCTTATATGTCGCTGACTGTGGATTAATCTGTGCATAACTGATCTGGCGCAAGTATATGACTTTAACCTTTTGCCATATTTCCGTTACGACCCCCCATGCTAAACTGGCTTTGAGGAGCTTGCATAGGTATTGTATCAATACCTCTAATCC